GATTTTTTTTTTTTTTTTTTTAAGAGAGAGAAACATTAATCGGTTGCCTACTGCACAAACCTCGACTGGGGATCAAACCTGAAACCTGGGCATGTGCCCTGACTGAGAATTGAACCCACCACCCCTCGATGCACAAGACGATGCTCCAATCAACTAAGCCACACCGGCCAGGGCACCCCCATATTTTTTTATTGTATGTTTGGTGTTCAAAAATTCTTATTTCACTTTGTAAAATTTCTCCTTTCTTTGAATGTAAAAACATCACAATTTTACCTTCATCAATTGAATCAAGTACTTTTGAGAAAAGCCACCCCTGCAGTATTGCTTCCACTCAGATCTGACTGAGCCATGAAGGCCGTCTGTGTACTGTGTTTGGCTGATGCTGATGCAACGCCTTCAGGTCTCACCCGGCACCAGGTAGTCACTTCCAAGGTGGATCTCTCACTGCCCCCGCTTGAGAGAGAAGGTAGTGGATTGAGAAATGTCTGCCAAAAATTCATGTCTACCCAGAACCTCAGAATCTGACTTGATATATATTTATAAACTGGGTCTTGCCCTGGCCAGGTAGCTCAGTTGGTTGGAGCGTCACCTGTACACCAAAAAGGTTGCAGGTTCGATCCTTGGTTGGGGTCCATACAGGAGGCAACCGATTGAGGTCTCTCTCTCTCCCTCCCCCTCTCTCTAAAATCAATAAACATATTCTCAGGTGAGGATAAAAAAACATTGGGTCTTTTCAGATGTGATTAGTTAAAGATATGAAGAGAAACTCATCCTGGATTTAGGGTGGGCCTTAAATCTAATGACTGGGTCCTTAAGAGAAGACACAGAGTCGTGGAGGGAAGCAGACCATGTGAAACACAGGCGGAATTGGAGTTATGCTCCCACGAGCCAAGGAATGCAGGCACTGCCAGAAGCTGCTGTTGAAAAACTGAATCAGTACGACTTTCCACTCATTCTCACTCAAACCATCAAAACCTAATAGCGCTTTGTCTTAAAATTCTAATTACCATATGGCTTATCATATGGATGTCCTGAAGATCACTGACCATGCTGGATGCCATCAGGTCCCCAATGATCACACCTGAACACCTTCATTTTTCAGTGTAACTCACTGAAATCATAGTCTACATCTGAGAATCACTCAGGAATAATTTAAATGTATAAGAGGCAAAACCCAACTAAAAGTAACTTAAGATAAAATAATTTAACAGAAAATAAGAAGAGGGAAGAAAAGATTCAATGAGGGAAGAAATCAGCTCATATTAACATGACTTGAGTAGATATGTCCAGGCACAGGCCCAAGCACTATACAAATGACCTGCAGGTGTTGGCCTCACCATCCCCAATGTCCACCCACTGTGCGCTCCTCCCAGGTCATCTCAAAGCCTGTCAGTTGCTCCTACACTGTGACCTCACACAACTCCACTTCTCAGAACTCCAGGTCTGACATGTAAGAGCCCTGTCATGTAAGGCTCCACCTCCTGATCCGTAAAGGGCCCTGTATCTGGAATCTGTTGGACCAGAGAGGGCCAAGTGACATCCCCCTGCCCTAGAACCTCTGCTAGAACTGCTCTGTCAAAAGTTCAAGGAAGTCTAGAAAGTGCCTGATCATTCCAAACTCTCATCACTCCTTTTCTGTCTTGACCTAGTGAAAGAATCTTCCCTTGCTTCTGTAATTTGACACTTTTTTCCACCAAATACTATTCGTCACCTGCTAATGGAAAGATTACGATGTGCCCTATGCTGTGTGCAGGTGAACAAGTTTCTTGACTCAGGACCTAGTGGCAGGGCCAAGGCAATGAGCCAGTTGCCAAGGTTCTCTCCAGGTAAAATGGTCCCAGACAACATTTCCTTCTTAGGAATCTAAGGTTAACTCTAAACAAGTCACCCAGGTAGTTTTTAGTAACAGATAAGGGTGTAACAGGTAGCATAAGTGCTAATTAAATTCTAATGTCTTATGTCTGAATTAGAATTTGGCACAAAAAAAAGATACAATTTATTTTGGAATGAGATATAAAAGCAAGCTTAATAAAATCAGATTTGTATGGAATCAAATTAACTAACCATAAAGAAATCTCTGGAGAGTAGGTGTCATCTTCTCCTTGACTGTATTATAAGAAAATAATATAACTGATCAATCTCAAAGTTACCTCTGTAGAATTTAATATAAAAGTGAATAAAAATCATGGGAAACAGAAAGTGAAGTGTACAAGGACAAGATCTCCTTTCTTGACCCATGAAGCCCAATCTCTTACCCACAAAACCATCTACTCTCCTTCATTTTTGTCTCAAAAAAGTTTAATAACATACAATTTTAATACATCAAAGCATCAGAGTCCAGAGAAAGAAAGAGAAGTGACACGAAAGGAAACAAGTATACTGAGGGTGTTCTCACAGTGAACCACTTTCCAAAAGCCACACTGCTGGGCTTTTTCAGCACAACCTTCAAATAATTTTCAGTTTTCACAACACCCTTCTTGGCTCCTGGCTCTCTCTGCCTCCCTGGCCAGCCTGTCTGCCCTCAAGGCCACAGCCAGCCTCTCTCTTGCTTTTTTCACTTTCAGAGTCTGTCTCTGGATGTCTCCACGGGTAACTGGTTGCCTGCAGAGAAGCTGTGGGACACACAGACCTCCTGGGATCATCTCTGCCCAACCTAAAAATTGTGCTGTGGTGGGCTCCAGGCTGGTGTGTAGAGACCCAGGACCAGCACAGCCCAGGGATTCGCCTGCGCTTTCTGGTGCAATTATTTTCATGGTATTTGTGACATCCAAAGTACTTAGAAGTTCTCCCTCCCTGCTGCAGGGCTGGAGTCCCTGCAGCCTCCTGAACGCACAGACTTGCCGGGGCCTCTCCCAGGGCTCCCCCTGTCGCCTGCTCCTGACCACATTGCCGGGATGGGAAGTGACCCTGGTAACTGGCTTCTTGAAAATGCAGTTGGTCAGCCTCATAGGAAGTGCAGACCTTTCTCGACGACGTTGCCGCTTGGTCTTGGATGAAAGGAGTTGTGTCTTCTTGGCTGAAGTCGGGGATATCATGTTCCTTTTGAGTTTTCCCTTTAAAAACAAAATGAAATTTAAAAGTTTGAATAAAATGAGTGATAAAGACTTTTGATTTATTTGGATCCTCCACCCTCCTCTTTCTGGAGAAATGTATCTGTTCATCCCAGGCATCTGAAAAGCTATTGAAGCTCCGTTTTCTGAACCTCAACCCAAGTAGGACTGGGGTGGGCCCAAGAATCTGCATTCCTAAGTGTCCCGATGCTGCTGGCGCTGCGAGCACAGGCCCCGCGCGGTAAGAGCCGGGTCCTGGGACATCAAGCAGGTATGAGTCAAGAACAAAGGAAGCAAAGTCATTATCCGGCTTTAATTCCAGACCATTTATTTATTTATTTATTTATTTATTTATTATTTATTTTTCTTTGGTTCTTTTTTTTTTTTTTTTACCATTCCCAAGGGAAATGGACAGAGGTTCCATGTATCTAAAAGCCTTTATGGCTCTCAGAGGCGCCCCTAAGCTATGAGCTTTCTGCAAGGTAGAAAAATGTACACAAATGGGAGGAAATATTCAAAAAATGGGTGAACGGATTTATCAGCCATTGTTGAGGTATTTAAATAAATAAATAAATAAATAAATAATAAAAAGTGCTATCCTTGTTTTACAACACAGTCTTACAGGGCCAGAGGTGTGACTCCAGAAACAATTCGAAGCCCACCAAATCCTTTTAACTTCCCCCAGACCTCCCCTTTTTATCTCAAGAGGCTTACAGATAATTGGCTTTACGAAACCAAATCAATTCCAGACCGTCTCACCCACCAGCTTCCTCAGAGGATGCTGCCCTCTTTCCACCTTCGCCGGCATCAGCCACACAGGCTGGTATCCTCTAACCCAGTGAAATTATGCGCCTTTCAACCCTCAACACACACTTGCATGCACACCCCAGTCCCTTCTTTACTCAAATATTCTCTGGTTCATAGAGTAAACCCTCAACTTTGTGGGCCTCGATTTAACACACTTCAGATTTAAAATTTCTGGTCCATATGTCATATGTGAAAATTGACACCCTGTTGATATTAAAATGCTTTTAACCAAGATTTGCTTATAAATGAATTAAACTTTTCACACATACTTAATTTTAATTACACAAATGTGTCTACATAAGTAAAAACAGGTAAACAAATTTGTCAATTTTTTAAGCATACACATTCGGAAAACGTACTTTATTACGAATAGACTTTCAGCTTTAACGGACACCCCCTCGCCTGAATTAGTCCATTAGATCAAGGTTTTACTGTAACTCAGAAATACCATATTTTCAACAGTTTCTTTTTTGCACAAAGACCTCCATTATAATTAACCATTTTGATCCCCCTAACTCTCCTCCTACTCCTCCCTGTTAATCTCAGCTCTTCTGACTTAACACAATTGATGCTTCTTAGAAGTCAGTCCTGCTCTCACATTTGTTCTACATTCACACCATTTCTAGGCCATCTCATTCATTTTTCTGGCTACAGATACCATCAATGAACTACAGATGCCCATAAAATCAGTGTAATCTGACTTCAACTCTGAGAGTCAACTATCCATCTGCCCACTCATCACACCACTGCTGATATCGATGACTCAGCTCAGTGATCAGGTGCCACTGAACCAACCAGTTCCCCAAATAATTCACCACTATCTCAGTGTCCCCTAAAGTCTCTTGTTAGTGCTAATACCCTGTGTAAACCAGTGTCATTCTGGACACCCTGCCATGCCACACTCATATCAATGAGCCATCCATCCACTCTTCTAAATCTGTGTAAACATTCTCAGTTTTTGAATAATTTTTGAGCATCTTTCATATTTCCTGTAAAATACCATTTACAGAGAGTGACCTTCCCTGATCTAGCAATAAAAATTAATGACACTTTTTGTATTAATTTTTTCAATTTTTATTTTATGTGTATAATTTTCTATTTCTTTCATATTATTTTTCTCACTAAACTGGATACTCCATGAAGAGAAGTCTAATGTGGACTTTATTTTTTTTAAATAGGTCTTTATTGATTTCAGAGAGAGGAAGGGAGAGGGAGAGAGAGAAAAACATCAATGATGAGAGTCATTGATCGGCTGCCTCCTGCACGCCCCCCGCTGGGGGTGGAGCCTGCGAGCCAGGCGTGTGCCCTGACCTGAAGCTGAACCCAGATCCCCTGGATTGTAGCTCGATGCTCAACCCCTGAACCACACGGGCCGGACTAATGTGGCCCTTAATGTGGCCCACTGCCATACTCACTCACTGCGTTGCCCTTAGATAGTGCTCATTGAAAGAAATTGTTCAAGCTCCAAAACATTCTAAATATTTCAAGCAAATTTACTCAACCAGAATTATACATGGAGTGCTATACTGCAATATTATTATCACTGCCTAAGATTTCAAATCCTTTCTCTCTGTAACCCATTTTAAAACTCGAGTCACAATGATCTATTTAAAATGTAAATCCATAGCACACCCTTTCTTTTAAATTCCTCTTCAGAGGTACTTTTTAAAGGAGAAACCATAAATCTCATTGCATTCCTATTACCCTGCCATAATTAATCCTACCCCTTCCATTACCCAAGGTGTCCCAGCTCGGAGGGAAAGTTGTATGATCCTCGCATTTATGGAGCATCTGTGATATGCCAAGTCGTGTACTAAAACGTGACTGAGAATTTAACAAAGTCACTGCCCCTGCTGATTTTAATCTGGGTTGGAGGGAAAAGTTAATAGACCAAGTACATGTATGTAAAAAAAAAATTCCAGAGAAGGGAACAATTTAAACAGTGCAGGGGCAAATACTACTTCTGATTTCTAGTGATGACTGATGTTGGTTAAAAGCAAAGCGAACCCGCCCTGGCCAGTTTCGCTCAGCGGTTACAACGTTGGCCTGAGGACCGGAGGGTCTCGGGTTTGATTCTAGGCAAGGACACCACGTGCTGCAGGCTGGATCCCCGCCCCGACGCCAATCGATGTCTCTCTCACATCGATGTTTCTCTCTCCCTCCCACTCTCTCTGAAAAGCAATGGAAAAAATATCCTTGGGTGAGGATTTAAAAAAATAAAGAAATGAAAACAGAGCAAAACAGCCCTGGCTGATGTGGCTCAGTTGGTTGGAGCATCGTCTTGTACGCCCAAAGGTTGTGTGTTTGATTTCCAGTCAGGGCACATACCTAGGTTTTGATCCCCGTGATGGGAAGCAACCAATTGATGTTTCTCTCCCTCACTCTCTCCCTCTCCCCAACTCCCTTTCTCTCTCTCTAAAAAAAATAAAAAAGCAAAACCAACACAAAACAAAAACATCAGGCCTCTTACCTCAAGAAAGCTTTATATACAAAAAAGTACACCTTGAACGTTATTTAACAAACATTAACACCCAAGAAACAATGTTCAGTAAGATACTTTCAGAGGTTTCACAAAAGGAAAAGTACACAAATGGACACTCTTGCTGTTGATATGGAATCTGTACTCACCAGAAAAGGCTGGTTTGCGATGCACACTGATGCGGGTTCCCCCATGGCTGCAGAGCTGCCTGCTGACCCACTCCTGAGATGCAGACTGCCTGTGGCTTGTTGGAAAATGCAGTGACTTCCACCAGTGATTCCCCTTTTATGGAGGAAGGGAGTGGATAAGCCAATTAGGAGATAATCCAGATGAGCCATCCCGTCTCTTATCCATGGTATTTGACAGATTCCTAAATGTTTACACAGAAACACAAAAATATGGGGTTATTGACATTGTTCAATACTATTATAGTTTCCAAAAAGTAATGCATTTGTGGATGGAGTGGCATTTGCAGTTTCTATCAACGTTTATTTTTTATCACCCACTAGGGCTACATCCTGTAAGAACAGGAATGGAAGTTTCTATGCATAAAAGTTTCCATGCAAACAGACAGTGGAATCTTAGAGGGAAGGTAGGGTGGGTG